ACATAAAAAATATGTGCATTGTTTTATTATGAATTACGATAATGATAATTCAAGAACATGGCATACATAAATTTATTATCCTTTTCTAACCAATGAAAAATAAACTTTCAAATTGAAAATAGCTTTTTAAAAAATTTAATTATTTTTTCTATGTTAAAATTCTACAACTACGATATGTACTACAAGAATAATGAAGTTAAAAATGAGAAAACTATACTCTGTTTTTAAACTAGGAGGAGCGAATTGAAAAGACGCATTTACACAGGGAAAAGTAACTAGATTTGTTACTAAGAGCGAGTTTCGAAATATAGTCGTGTTCAAAATTTATGAAATAATTATCTTTATCGGCCTTAGTCGGTGAACGGCCAATGAGCGGTTAAGAAACGAATAAATATCATAGAAGTAATTTTTTAATTGGTCCCAGACAACGGTCGCAAATTTCACATTATTGTGATCTGAAATGTGTGTCTAAAACAAAATGTCACTGTCAAATTAAAGTCAATATGGTTGTTGATTGATGTGAGAAATAATTTTTTCTTGCTTTTGAAATCGACTTTTTGAGAATAACTATGATCTTTTTAAAATGGATATTAAATATTTAAGAAAATTGTTAATGGAATATCCAGATGTAGCCAGGTTAGTATAAAATATAAAGATCTGTTTACATTTTTAAGGATATATTTGTTATAGGTATAAAAAGTAAAAGTTAATCAGTGAATGATAAGTGGATCACACAGTAACTGGTATCTCTTCTATGAGTAATGTGAATATTATGGCTTATTTAGTGTTAACCCATGGTTAATGCGCTAGAGGGCGAATAAAGACATTCAAAAGTTTACAGGCCTATGAGTTGTTTTGAAAACTGGAACCAACATTTTCATAACACTACATGTCAACATATATTTTTTAAGTAAACTATTCATACATACCTATGTATTAATTTTAAGTATTTTTAAAATATTTTTTGTGAAAGTAATGTTAACTCATTGTGCCAAATTAAGATTGTCCCTAAAGTAGTAGATGGTGTTTTAAATGTTATAACAATTTTGTAAATAGTTTTATTCTATTCTAATAAATAAAATTTGCTTGAATATTTAGTTACATTTTAATAATTTAGGTTAGAAATTCATCAATTTTGTTTAAAAAAATCAGTAATAAAATTATTTTTTTCTAAAATACTTCGGAATTCATCTCTTCATGGTAATCTCCCATCTTTTTACCTTCAAAAACCAATAATGCATTTTCTACAAAACCTTCAGAATCAGCATGTAAAATAATAAGGTGTCTTCCCTTTCTTGTAAGACTTTTCAGGAATTGCTACCTTTAATAGTACTCAGTGTAGAAGGATCCATAATTGTAGATTTTCAATACAATTGCTTACTGAAGAACTATTATTTACGAAATAAAGTAAAAAACTAAGTAATGGATGAGATATCAAATTATAAAATGTCAGAACTGTCAACAATATCAATTATTAGCTGATGTTCATGCTAAAAAGTAATGTGTGAAACTGACTGTAATCTGACCAATCAGAAGGCTACAGAATTGCCAACTAGCGGTTTCCTAGAAACTGGTAACTCTGATAACGCCGACATCTGCAGGATCTGTTACTAGGGCTGATGTAATTCCTCCCCTCGAAGATTCAACTCCAAAGGGTTAGCGAGGGATTTGAACGGTGGTATGGTCTACTGGTACTTCTTCTTGATTTACTGGCTTACGATAGGTTGAGATTTTTCTAACAACAAAAACTCCTGTTAGTAAGGCCAAAAAACAATACATAAATATTGTCCATATACTGGGGGTGTAGCGCACTTCTTGGAACTTGGTTATTGGTTCATTTTCGACGAATTTTGATTTAATTTGGTGTAGTTCATCTAGGTTGACTTCTTCTAATTCAAGATTGGGATTTAATTTTGACGATTCAGAATTTTGGAATTGTAGTTCGGGAAACAACATGGGTTGACTTGAAAGTTTTCTTTATTTGCTGTTTTTTTTCTATGCCTATGGCTTTAATGACTTCTGTTTGATTATGACATTGAAGGGTGATTGGTTCCTTTGATGGGAAAGTTGCTATCTATTGAATTGTTCGATCTAATCTTTCGAACAAAAGTTGTTTTGTTGTGATTCGTGTTTGTTGACATGTGGAGGTGTTTTGGATATTTAAGAGGGCTATTTCGCATGGATTTTCTTTCTTGATCCCTTGGAGGTTAGTTTTGCAGCAATTATATGATATTGCTGGGTGTAGCTTAAGGCAAGGCTTGCTCATAAACGCGTAATTGAAATTATCTTTTATTAAGTAATTATTTTTTGGAATCACTGCTTTTAACTGACCCTGTTTCTCGACTGGTACATGGTACAAATGGTAATAGTTAAAATTTTCAATAGTCGTTAAGGGAATTTTAATTATATAAGTTATTTTGTTGTTAAATACGTAGCTCTCGATTTTTATCAGTTTTTCATATATCAAAATATTTTCTAAAGTTATTTCAAGTGGCAATTGACTGCCCTTTAATTTCCTTTGAATCTTTTGTGATTCCTTAAAGAAATCTGCGGTTTTCATGATAGTTGGGTGCATAATATTAAGTTTTGAGAATGATTGTTTCTATATCTTAATTATTTCCAACATATTAATAATTTGAATAAGGGTGTCTTTTATTATTATTGTATTTCCTAACTCGATAGTTGCTGCTACAACTGAAGCGATTCTTTCTTGTTTTTCTTTTAAAATTTCCTCATTATGTATTAGTTGATTAACGGTTAAAATGAATGTATTTATTAGTGAAATTGACAACAAATTTTGGTTTTTTATGTTTACGTCCATGTTATCCTGATTTTCTTGGAGTTGTTTTATTTATAGTTCATACCGTTCTCCATCAGTGGAGTCTAAGTTACCTGATATAGTTTTGAATATAGATCCTAGCCCATTAATGAGTTCTCTTTTTGTCCTATGAGTTGAAGGAGGGGGTAAAATTTCAACTAGTTTACTTTCAACTTTTTCTTCGGTGAATGCTAGGATTTTTAAGTAATTTGCAATGTCGCTTGAATAATATATGTTTTTTGAGGCATGAGTTTTTAGATCCCTTGAATAATTTTTTAATTTATTAATTTCCACAATTATCGGATTTAGGTCACAATAATGAATTGGATTAAAATAACTTTCTTTTATTTTAGCTGTTCCTAATTTGACGGGTATGAGTCCAAAGTTATTTTTCAGATTTTTCATTGTAATTTTGGATGAGGCTCCGAGGGTCCCAAAATATCTAAAGAAAATTAAGTTTGTTTAGTTTTAAAATCATATGTTTTTTTGAGGGGGCGTTTTAGATTTTTCTTGTGAATTTTGTCTTGTGTATGAGTACCTACTGTTTTCTTAGTATTTCTAACTACTTTTAAAGTTACCGGTTTTTTAAATCTATTAGCGTTTTTTCGTCTGTCAATATTTTTTTCAAAAACCTTTTGTTGAGGAGCAAACATATCGGGTTCCTCGCGATTTTTATTGACCTTTTCAATAATTTTATCTTTGCGATTTATCAGATCTTGATTAATTTTAGAATACAAAATCTTGGTTCGTTCTTTATGATTATCGATGTAATTATTTAATAACATTTTGTCAATTTCGATTCTAAAAGGGTCGTTACTACTTACGTGTCCTTGCAATACATCAATAGGTTTAAATTTGGTTGAAGAGTGAATCGAGTTGTTATAAGCTAAGATTGCGTATGTCATTTTTAGTTCTGCGGGGGTATTTTGAAACCCTTGGTTGTTGAGAAGTCGAAGATGTTCAATTAGAGTGGAATGTAGTCTCTCAATCATACCATTTGATTGAGGGTGATTTGGTGATCTGTACTACAAGAATAATAAATCTATAATGATGTTAAAAATGAGAAAACTAGATAAAATGCATAAAGTCTTAATCAGCGGTTTCCTAGAAACTGGTAACTCTGATAACGCCGACATCTGCAGGATCTGTTACTAGGGCAAAATACCCCCGCAAAACTAAAAATGACATACGCAATCTTAGCTTATAACAACTCGATTCACTCTTCAACCAAATTTAAACCTATTGATGTATTGCAAGGACACGTAAGTAGTAACGACCCTTTTAGAATCGAAATTGACGTAATTAATGTGTTCCACAAAGACGTCGATAACATTCAAGTTCTTTGACTGATAAGGGAGACCAGGGCTGGTTGACACACGGGGCTGGTTGGCAATCACATGGTCATAAATGGGCAGCAAATACTTTTAATGTATAAGGTATCTGTCAATTATTCTAATAATTTAAAATTATTTAAATGTACCTACAAATATGATGTAATAAAAAAAAACAAAAATGCAGAATAAAGATTATTATTATATTATAATAGTGAATATGTTCGACGTTTATTGCAGTACCGCCTTAGTCATTGTTGCCATTCGTACCATTGTCGCTCCAAAATTCTTTAGATTTACACATAAATCTTTTTATGGCCAGAATAGTTGAGCTCGTATCTAGAGTAGCTGTCAATTCAATATGAACAGCTCTTACTGTGAGACAAGTAAAAAGCACCCCATATCTTTTTTCAATCCTCCTACCAATAGACACTGTTACGGGGCCAAAAAGATCAACTCCTACATAAGTGAATGGAGAAATAAAACTTTCCAATCTTTCGTTTGGCAAAGCTCCCATTTCAGGGGCTACTGGTGTGCATTTTCTAACTCTACAATCTTGGCAATTACTAAAACATCTTTTGACAGCTGGTCTTAATTTTAAAATCCAAAAATTAGAACGAATATTATTAACTACTGTTTCAAATTCAATATGACCTGCCTCTTCATGAAATTTTTAATAATAATAATAATAATAATAATAATAATAATAATAATAAAGGTCTTTATTTTCCTTTCAAGTTACATAACTATTTACAAACATTATGAAAAAAAAAGCAATCGTAACAAAGCAAGAAAGGAAAAATGCCGAAGATCAGGTGACGATAATTTCAATGAAATCATCGCCTCTGTTT